CTCTGCCACTTAAGGGCTAGTGATCTTAACCTCTCTGGGCCTGTTTCCTCATCTGAAAATGAGGTTAGTCAAAGTCTCTCTCTCCTAGGTTCATCAAGAAGCTTTAGTCAGATATCATGAAAATGTTTGGCATTTGCCCAGCTCGTAAGGCACACTCAGTGTTAGCTACAGTCCCAAACGTGAGGAAGATCGCACGTCGGCTGGAAGATGCCCTCCCCTCGAGGAGCTCCTGCAGTCCAGACTCTTCTGGATGGACAAGTGGTTTCTCCTCCGACTGACTGCCATGTGTCACCGGGAGCCTGGGAATAATGATTACACCTCACAGGGTTGTCATAATTGTTAAGGAAGAGAATGCATAAGTAAAGTCACCCTGTGGACTGGCAAACTCTTATTATTTGGGGGATGTTGATGGTAGTGGGGTAGTTTCCAGGATCATTTTTCTGTATATGATCTCAGTTCTTTCCTAGACCTTCTCATAACTTCACCCCACCCCAACCATCTCCACCCTCTCTCCTGGGACCCCTAGGGGAGGGTTTGTTTTTAAGTAGCGGAGCATGTTGACCAATAATCTTTAATAACACACATGCTTATGGAGCTTCCTTGTAAAAGACATGTCAGAGTAGTTGACTTGGAATAGAATTTCATATCAATTCAGAACATCCCAGCTCAGAAAGTAAACCCATGAAGAGTCAGAAAGGCACAAGATGGTGTTAAGATATAATTTTCTAGCCCTGGCTGCTTTGGCTAAGTGGTTGGAGCATCAGCTTGCAGACCCAGGGGTCGTGGGTTTGATTCCTGGTCAGGGGCACGTACCTGGGTTACAGATTCGATTCCTGGCCCCAGGGCCATGCGAGGGGCAACCAATCGATGTGGACACATCGATGTTTCTTTCTCTCTCTCTCAACAATAAAAAAAGTATATAATTTTCTAAAAGGTAAAAATCGTGACTCTTGTGCAAATATAAAATAGAACTTAGAAAAGATTTGTGTCCATTTATTCAATAATTATGGAATCAGTAAGATTTAAATCAGTTCAAAAACCATTTAAAGAGCTAGGTATTTATAGTCGATTTAATGTTAGGACAAGATTGGGGGGTTAGGCACATAACTAGTTCATGTCCTATAAAACAATAAACACCCTAAGGGCTATCTTTTTCAAAAGGACAAAAAATTGTTTGTATTTGTATCTCTACTGGATAAAAAGCTACCAGTTAACATGTAATACCAAGTCTTGGAGTAGAACTAAGTAAACTTCTCTAGATAATCCTTGGGGGTTGGGGCAGGGGGCAATGTCATATTGCATCATACGACATTGAAAGAATGCGCCGCCCATCTTTCTGCCTTATTTCCAAGTTTTGGATAATTTTTTAACAACAGTAAATCATTATTTCCCTTTACGAACAACCTTTTAACCTTATATGATGCTTACGACAGCCTTGTTGAGACAAAAGGGGCAAGGAACCCCCTTTATGAGAGGAGGAAGCTGAGTTACACGAGGAAAGAGAAGCTGAGCTGGGAGAACTCCCATCTCTAATTCCAGGTCCCCTGCTCCCCCCTGAAGTCCGTACTGCATTTCCCCTTTCTGGTTCCTCTTCGTCACAGTCCTACATTGCCCTTGGGGTACACCTGAAGGTAAATGCTCACAGAGGGAGGAGTCACCCAGGTCCCTTGCATCCCTGGTCTAAGTCCTCAGCCCCTCACACGATTCGGTTCCACTATATCAGATGAACCGCGTCCCACTATCCCGAGCCAAGGAAAACTGTCGAAACATTTTATTCTCCCTTCAAAAAAAAAACAAAACACAGAATGGATGCTATATTCCAAGAACCCATTTGTTTAAGTGACAGGTCCTTTTAAGCTCTTCTCTTCTTAGCTACTGTGGGCCACTGTGCCATCTTTCATCAGAGCCGCGGTCCACGTTGAACACACCCACTTTTATGCACCAGAACATCTGGTTTGAAGCACCACGTCTGGTTGACGCTTTCCCCTCCTTGCTAAGCAGGATCCTCTCCTGTGCCGGGGTAGCTGGGTCTGGCTGACTCCTGTGCATACCCACAGTGGACGGAGGGCTGTTTATTGTGTTCCACAGTCTGCCAGCAAACTGGCTGCGAGTGTGGCCTGAGGGCCCACATCGATTTCTTTCTTGCAGGGCCATTTATTTTCCCCTCCCATGGGCTCCGGTCACCATGGAAACCATCCCACCAACAGGATGGAGACAAGGGCCAACCCTCTGCTCCCTACACTTAACCAGAGAGACAACACATATGCGTGAAACAAAGTAGAGGGAGAAAGTATACGTATGGGGCGAGTGGTTAGAAAAGTTGTTCCTCTGTGGTTCCCTAGAATTCTGTTGCTAGGGGGAAACATTCTTTTGTTTGAGAACACGTGATTTAGGGTCTCTCAGGCTGTCGGCACAAGATGCAATGACAACAACAAACACGCAGTACGTGGTAAGTGCAGGCTAAGCCTTTTCCACGCGGGCACGTCCACCTGCACAGTAACTGCGTAGGCAGGCGGCCAGCAGAAGAAAGGCACAGATTGGAACTAAAACCCTGACTCTCTGACCCCAAAGCCTAAACCTCCACCAGAAACAGCTGCCGGCCCACGGCCACCCCTCCCACTCCCCACGCAGGCCCGCGCTCCAAAGACTCTGGAGGCCAGTTCCTTCCGGTGTCTGCCATTTTTATTGGGTCATGTCACCCTCCCTGCCGCCCGCCCTGGACCACTGTGTAACATCCTGCAGCAAGATCCAGGCAACCCCGACGCCGGCCAGCCTTCTCGTTTTACAGAGGAGCAGTTCAGGCCTGCCGAGGAAATGAGTCGCCTCTGGCCGCACAGCTAATAAATGTCAGGGTTGGCACCGCAGGGCCAGCCCGCCCGCAGGCCAGCGCTCTCTGGCCGTGCCGCCTCCCCCACTGTTCTAAACCAGAGCCTGCGCCAGCAGCTCGCTCCCTGGCCAAGCGGCAGGGCTAATCCCCTTGTAGGGCGACTGTTAAATCAGCCGCTCGTTAGAAGGACAATAATGCTGGAGCACGCGGGGTGCTGGGCCACTTCGGAAATGCCTCCGCTTAGCTCTTCTGTGTCCAGGCCTCGCTGCCTCTGGGTCTGTTTAAAACAATCCAAGAATGAAGCCTTGTTCATACTTCATATACCTCCCAAAGTAACCTATGAATCACTCAACTATGAAGTGTGAAAGGATCGCTGTGTTTCAAGTAGTAGAACCCAAGGTGTCAAGAACAAGAGGTGAATGTTTGCAAGGTTTCACGTGTCAGTGGCTTTAGGGAGCAAGGTTCCGCCCGTGAATGAAAACTCCCAGCTTGGGAGGGGGGTGTGGTGCGCACCATCTTGTTTTTCAATTTTAATATGAATCTAACACTGAACAGGCACAAGTAGGAACATGCTTTCCTTTAAACACATGCAACATGGCTCTTACATGCCAGAGCTGTGAATGTGATTTCCAAACCCAGCTTTGGACCAGCTGAGCCAGGCTTTCTTACCTGTCAAACAGGTACAGAGATAAAAGGGTCTGAGCATATTGGGCATTAAAAATGGTAGCTGCTATTATTTTCACAAATACTTTAGGAGCACAGAGCAAGGTGTCAATAAACCCATATGGGAAATCCAGGGAGGCTTCTCAGAGGAGGTGACTTTGGATTGGGGCAGTGCAAGATGAGCTGGCAGAAAAGAACCAAGAGTGTTGACTGTCCCAAAGAGCATGCTCAGACTGCAACACCCAACCCATAAGCCCTTTGGTACCTTTTTGCCTTCGCACATTCTCTTTCTTCTTCGAGGAATCCCTTCTTTTCTGCCAGTTAATCTTGCACTGCCCCAATCCAAAGTCACCTCCTCTGAGAAGCCTCCCTGGATTTCCCATATGGGTTCATTGACAGGCAGTTTCTTTGCCTCAAAATTACCCCTTCCAGGAGCAGGTGATACATGTTTTCCTGCTCCATCTCCCCTAGACCTCTGGAGCACACCTGAATCTTATGCACTATCCCTGTGGCTGGCACACAGTAGATGCTAAGTAAACGGTTAAGTGGATCAATAGCTTGTTGAATGACAAGCTTATCCCTTTATCTTACTAGCTGATGAAGCCTCGATTTTGATAAGATGGTAATAATGTACCTACTCATACCAAATCCCCACACACACACCCCACTCCCAGTGAAGAGTCAGGTAAGTTGCTCAGCCAGCAGATCCGTACACTAACCCACTGCTTCTCCAGTTCTAATGTCTGTCATACAAGTCTCCTAAATTTTGTTACAGTGAAAGTTCTGATTTAAAAGGGCTGGGCTGGGGCCTGAGAGTCTGCATTTCTGGCCCCCCTCCGGTGATGCTGCTGGTTTCAGGGCCTCACGTGAGAGCTGCTGGGGTCCCCACGCCGCCGCCGCCGGGCATTCCTGCTCCCTCTGGCTGCTCATGAAAAGGGAAACCTGACTGGTGCCTTGTTCTCCTTCCAGCGCAGGACCAGACTTCGAATGCTCCTGATTTTCCATGTTTTAGCAAAATATTTAAGTTATGCTTTGAGCTATAAACATTTGGCAGCATGAACATTGGTTTGCGCTTTGGTTTCATCACACCCTATCAATAAATTATAAGTAAATGAGGGAGAGGGGACATTTTCTGGAAGATTCCATTCCAGTGACAAGTGGATCAGGGGAGTAGGGGAGGGAGGAAGGAGCAGATGGTCCCTCACAGCAGTCTTGGCAGCAAGTGACAGCACCGCGGGCTGGGATCGAGCCCCCTCGCATTTTTATTGGGAAGTGCCCCACCCTGCACACTTGCCTGCCCGACGGCCACTTTCCCAGCTGGTCTTCTGGTAAACAGTGGGTGATGGTAAACAGCAAGTGCTCCTGGTAAACAGTTAGTGATGGCTTGTTCATCCCAAGCCCTTTGAACTCCACACAATCCCTTTGCGGGCATGCCAAGTCTTCTAGAGGTCAACATCCCTGGTCCAAGGGGTTTGGAAGGAAAACACCCTCTTCTCTGCTCCTTTTCCAGATGTCCCTGGGCCAGCAGCAGTCAGCAAGAGGTGTGCCTTGTCTGAGATGCAAGGGGACGTGTTCGGGCTTCGAGCCACACTCGTGGAGGTATGGAGTTTGTGGGGAGGCTCTGCCTGCCTTCACTTCTTGGCTGTCCTTTCAGGGAACCCTGGCCGCTGTCTGCTGGGACCGCTCAGGATGCACGTTGTGCAGGGAGTGGCCCCGGAGCAAATGCACTCCCTCTCGGCCTAACTCGGAAATGCCAGACAAGCCCTGGGGAGCCAAGATGAAGCAGGAGTTTCGCTCTCCTTTAACCGTTTCAAGGTGGAGGCTCAGCCCGGCGGGACGGCCCTGGGAAGGTGCAGACCGTTGTTCGCTGGTGCCTGGTCCACGCTGGGGAGAGCTGTCTGTCCTGGGAGCGGTGCATGGGCTGCTCTCCTCCCACTGAACCATCATCCCTGTGGTGGGTTCCGATCTGAGAGCCAGGGACCGAACTAAAGGTCACGGTGTCCACACACTTAGAAACCAAGACCTGGTACTCACGGCCATGGGGAAGGCTCATAGGAGCCAGCTGGACTTTTCTTTCTTTCTTTATCCATTGAGGACTCTGAACATCAGAGGAGGGCTGCCACACTGCACAGTCCCAGCACCGTTCACACTGGCATCTATGTGGGTGGCACCCCGGGACTCATGCAGCCCGGTGAGACTCCATAGGGCACGACAACAGAGAAGGAGTTTTTGTCTCCACTGCCAGGGCGATGCCCGGGGCACTCAGTGGGGGAACAAAGTTTCACACACATTTGTCTTAGAGATTTGACTTCCACTGTGAGGAGGCAACTACAGAAATATTGAACTGAGCTAAATCTTCAGTATTTAAATATTGAAAGAATGCTCAGTGGTAGGTATTAGCGTGTCCATTTTGCAGATCAGGAAACTGAGGGTGAGTAATGGGGAGATGGCTACTAAATGGCAGCCTTCGCACTCGGGTCTGTGGGAAACTCCATCCCATGCTCTCAACCATTCTGCAGTACAGTGCGCCATGAGCTTCCAAAGGACAAAACTTCCTTATCCATATCCACACAAAAGGACTCCATTCCCTGAGTCCTCACCTTAGAGGAGCTCACGTGGTCTTCTGGATGTAAGGACCTTCAAGGTCATCCAGTCCTGATTCCTGTCCCCTGCACAAACTCCTCCCACTGCTAAAACACTCACAGGAGGGGGACCCCCACCCCCAGTGCATCTATTTTGGCCACTTGAGCTCTTTTGGGCTTGGAGCAGAGTGAGCTTTCCTATCATGTCACCCCATTGGTCCTGACTCTGCCGTGGGGGTCATAGAACAGTGTTTAGAATCATCCTACAGACAGCCCCTTTGAGAGTTCGTGGGGCAGGGGGCTAATGTTCCTTGAATGCAGACACTGAGTCGGCTCAGTAACGTTTCCCTTCTCCCAAGGGCCACAGCCCTGTGCTTCCTGTGGTCTGACATCTGAAAATGATCCTGTAATACAGTTTGTCTGGTTGTCTAGGTGTTTATGGAAGGAGGGCAATGCTGGACCCCACGTCCCTCATGGCTGGAAGCAGAAATCCCTCAGCGTCGTTTAAATCCCTACATTTCCTCCCCATCTTATAAACAATTTGAACGTCAAGGGAATTTACCCTTGAGAAAGACAGATTGCAGCTTGTAGGTCCTTCCGGCATCTCAAATGTCATCTTTGGTTTGAACTGCCTTAACAGGGACCTAAATTCAAGCCATATTGGATCAGTGAGGTCCCACCCTTGAGGGGGGAAACCATGTCAAACCACTGTGTGCCCCAGGTCCCATACTCTCCATAGTCTGAAACACATGTAAAGATCCAAGTGGAGGCCAGCCTGGTGTAGTGGGAAAGGGCCTCCGCTAATGCTCACAGGACAGCATCGATGGGCTGACTGCTAGACACTTCCCTTCCCTCAGCCTCAGACTCCCCTCTGAGAGCAGGGACGTCGGGGCTGATGTGCTCTGGGGTCCCCTTCCAGCTTTACCATCCCACAGTTTCAGGCAAATTGCTTACAAAAATGAACGATTCACATGGTTAGTTGGAATGGAATTCGTATCAGGAGCACAGAAGAGGAGCATTATTGAAAGAGGAGGGTACAGAGCAGACTTTCAGAACAAACAGATGAAGCCAAGGAGGAGTTCCCCCAGCAGCCTCAGCATCCTGCCCTCCAGTAGCCACGCCGGGCTCCTTGCCCACCTGGCAACCTTCACAGCATGCTGAATTCCCCTTCAAGGTGGAGGAAAACATTTCAGAGAGAGCCCAGTACAAGGTCCCTTCCCAGCGTGAACAAATTTTTTTATATTATCATTCTAATTAGCTTTATTTTTTTCAATATACACTGACTTCAGTAGGTAGAAGAAAAAGAAAAAAAACAAAACCTGATATAAGGAAAACAGGAAACATAATATGAAAAATGGAAGAGAGACCAGAGACTCTTTAAATTACAAGTCTGCATTCTTCAGGGGTCGCTCTTGATAGACTCCTCCTGACGCACCCTGCTCACGGGCCCTGTCCCAGGCCAGCTCCAGCAGCTGCCCTGGACTGTGGTGTAAAATCTGCCTCTTCTCACCAGGGCAGCGGACCTTCATAAATAAATCTGCAGTCACATGATAGCTGGGTTTCCTGTGCTTTTCGAGGGACAACCTAGAGAAAGTCAACTGGAGCTGCTTAAATTCCTGAAAGGGACCGAGTAGTGACTGTCCCATTTTGGTGGGCATCAGAGTCACCTCGGGAACAGGATCGCAGGTACCCGGCCCGGATCCCACTCCAGCCCATGAATCTGGCTAGTGGGGCCAGGGCACAGCATCTCCCCGTTTACCCAGCCCCCGGGGGATTTGGATATGCAGCAAAGTTTGGAAACTCACCAACCAGACCAGGGTCAGCAAGCCATCTGTGAGGAGCCAAACAGGAATCACTGTAGGGTTTGCAGGTCGTATGGCCTCTGTCACACCTATTCCCCTTGGTCCTTGTAGCTTGAAAGCATTCATTCATTTAAGGACATGGAAATTCAAAATGTTTTACCCACTTAAAAATGTGAAAACTAGCTCTGGCCAGTTTGGCTTGGCGGTTAGAGCATCAGCCCAAGGACCTAAGGGTCTGGTTAGATTCCCAGTCAAGGGCACTTACCTGGGTTGCAGGTTAGATCCCCAGCCCCAGTTGGGTCGTGCAGGAGGCAATCAATCAATGTGTCTCTCTCATGTGGATGTTCTCTCTCTCTCTCCCTCCTCCCCTTCCACTCTATCTAAAAAAATCAATGGAAAAATATCCTCGGGTGAGGATTAACAAAGCAAAAAAAAGTGAAAACTATTCTTAGTTCCAAGGCCATACAAAAATAGGATTTGGCCTGTAAGCCATGGTTTGCCAACCCTGACGTAGACCATCCCTCTCATCTGATAGGTAAGAAACTGGACCACAACCTACGGTGGGCTAGTGTTCAGACTGGGAGTAGATTCCAAACCTGTGCCTTTCCCACAATTACAGGTTTTCTATGACAGGTTGCAGAAATGGCCATTTTACCCCACTGAAGACCTATGTATCTGTGTCCTCTACGATTCGGGTGCCTAGGAAGAATGGGGTGGACTTTCATAAAGCCCCAGCCATTTACTTGGCAATATGAAAAGCATGAGTAAAGGAGAAATAATGTGGACACGGTCTCATAGGACATCTCATTCATCAGCATTTTCCACGTCTAAGTGTTTGCATTCTCAGCATCTCCTCTAGCATTCTGAGTCTGTTAACCAGAAAAGCAAACGGCAGCTTCCTGGCCCAGTTTCACATATAGAACGTACTGGGCTGCCCTGGCCAGTTTGGCTCAGCGGTTAGAGCGTCGGCCTGCGGTCCAGAGAGACCCGGGTTCAGTTCCCACTAAGGGCACGTACTTCGGTTGCAGTTTGTCCCCGGCCCTGGTTGGGTCGTGCAGGTGGCAGGGACTCGATGTGTCCCTTTCACGTCGATGTTTCTGTCTCTCTCTCTCCCTCTCTCTCTCTCCTGCTCTATCTGAATAAAAAATGGAAAAATGTCCTCGGGTGAGGATAAAAAAAAAGAACATACTAGGCAGGTCAGAGGACCTGTGGGAGACCCCCCTTCCTGCTGTCACTGCCCACGTTAAACCAGTGGTGCCATCACCAGGCTTCTCAGAGAAGCAGTCTCCTCCATGCCTCGTAAAAGGAGCGGGAAGAGAATATTACGATCATGAGTGAAATGCCACAGTCCCACAGAACAAGCCACCCTTCGTATGAATGAGAAGACCTCGTCTTTGCCCTATATCGCCTCTGGGAACTTGAACTGCAAGTTTCTCCTCAAATAATGTTGGAGATGCTGCCTTCTCCCCCCCTCGCCCCCCGGAGTCATGCTGCACATCAGCGCACTAAAGACAAGAGGCAGCCTTACACTGAAAGATGTGTCTCACCTGTAGCCCACAGTTTCCCAAACTCCCCACCACGGAGCCCTTGTCCACGCACCACATGCCAGCATCCTGGAGAACAGGTCCAGTCCGGCAGAATCCCACACAGTACACGCAGTTCTCACACGGCCCAGCCTGACTCCACTTTGTGTTATAGTTTCCATCTGATTCCCTCTCCTCTCCCACCCCAACTGTAAGTTCTTTAAAGTTGGCGATGGGGCCTCCTTTTCTTCATGTTACAAGAAGGTTTCTCAACTGCAGCGCTATTGACATTGGGAACTGAATAACTCTTGTGAAGGGGGAGCTGTGAATTGTAGGATATTTAACAGCATCCCTAGCCTCTACCCTATAGAAGTCTGTAGCACGCCACTGTGACAATTAAATGTGTCCCCGGACATTGCCCAATCTCCCTGCGGGACAGAACTGACCTTGGTTGGGAACCACTGATGTAGACCATCAAGGCACACCCCTGCTGGCCCCACAGTCAGTATCTGGGAGCTGTGGTTAACGGCATCAATCTCCTGAGTCTGGAAGAGCAAAGGAGGGTTTCTTGGGGGCATGCCTGGCTGGGACACCTCATGCAGCTACAGTGCCGTCTCTCCGGCGTGGGCTGCCCCATCCCTGAGGTAGGTCCTGGAAGACGTCACTTTATGAGCAAGCTCTGACATGGCATGCCTACAGAAGGCCGGAGAGGGAGGGCATGTCTCCTCGCAGGCCGTAGAACTCTGGCTCTCTGATCATGAAGGCACCACACAGAACGGCCCACCGCATTTTTGTCAGAGAGAAGCATCAGGGTGCCCAGTGAATATGAAGCATCCCCCGATGCTTTTCCTTCTCCCAGCCGCGTGACCAACACTTGCCAGCGGACACCAATCTCTCCGGCCCGAGGGGTTTTCCGAGCTCATTCCCTTCCCACGGGGTCCTGTCCACCAGTTTCTTGAAGAAAATTCCCAGCTCTATTCTGACTTCAGAAAGAGTGCTCAAGGGTTTAAAAGGTGCTGAAGCTATGAGGCTCGGGTCTTGGGAGAGAACTTTAAATTCCTTAAAGCAGGGGTCTGCATATAAAAAGACCCTTTTTTATAAAGGGCCAAGTAGTAGCTCTTTTAGGCTTTGAAGGACAGTTGTGCCCTGTTGCAATGACACAAGTCTTCCATCATAGCCCCAAAGCAGCCACAGAAGGTGGCTGGTCATAGCTGTGTTCCACTAAAACTTTATTGACAGAAGCAGGGTAGGAGCTGGGTTTGCCCACAGGCCGTGAAGACTCCTGCTTTGGAGCATCTCTAATGAGTGAACCGCCTTTGCCACCATAACCACCATGAGGGAAAACCTGCTGCTGTTTTTCCAGCAGAAGTCACATCCCACAACCCCCACAGGCAGACAGACTGACAGAAAGACTGGAGTCTCCCAAATGCAGCCCCAACCCCTAAGCCCCTGGTCTCAGGTCACCATGTGTCTTCTGCTAACCGTTCCCAGTTACACAAGTTAAACTTTGCACTTGCTTGCAAAAGGGTAGATGCGGCCGGCGGAGACTCCCTCTCTCTCCTGGAGGTTGGCCTCACTTTCCCCTCTCTGCCCCACCCCAGGAAAATATGCAAGTCCTGCAAATGCAGCCAAGAGGACCACTGCCTGAGCTCCGACCTGGAAGATGATCGGAAAATTGGCCGCTTGCTGATGGACTCCAAGTATTCCACCCTCACGGCCCGGGTGAAAGGCGGGGACGGCATACGGATTTACAAGAGGAACCGGATGATCATGACCAATCCCATTGCCACTGGGAAAGACCCCACCTTTGACACCATCACCTATGAGTGGGCTCCCCCCGGAGTCACCCAGAAACTGGTAAGACAGCTTCCTCCAACCAAGTGGTTGCTTTCTTGCCCTTGTAAATGTTAGCCAGGACACACATTCCCAAATTTCAAGAACAAGGTGAGAGGGCAAGGTTACAGGAATAGTAGGAATGTCTGTGGTTTCATTTCCGTTCCTACCTCACAATGTGATCTTGATGGGAAGACTGGGCCTCGGTGTTCCTCATCCATTAAATGGGTAGAGTTATTCATATGAACTCTAAGGGCCCTTCCAACTCTAGTACTGGGCTGCTCAGGAGTTCCTGTGGGCTCCTCGTTTCTAAACAGAGGATGGCTAATCATCCAGACCTCTCCACGTGCTTGTCTTCATCTGCGCCATGTTCATTCCCCCAAAGTGGCTGGGATGTGACATGTGCAAGCCTCAAGGAGAGCAGAGAAACAGCCCCTGCTTCTCCCAACAGCTGAGGTCTCTTGAGCTTACAAGGGAGAGCCAACCTGGCTTTTCACAACTGTGGGGAAGAGGCACCCAGAGAGGGCTTGGGAAACGGTTACAGAAGCCCTGAGGAGGACAGAAAAAACAAGGCTCACAAAGAACAGGCGACTTGAACAAGGTCACACCCTGGCTATCCCCTGGAACCTCCTGGGGACACATAAAAGGTCCCCTCACCCCAGACCATTAAATCAGAAGCTCCAGCTCACAGGATCAGACTCCCCAGAAGTGAGCAGTTAAATGATGCCCCAGGTAACACCATATGCAGCCACCTTCGGGACTTGGTGCACCAGTCCAATTCTGAGTGGACCACTCAGGTTTCAATGAGCATATCAGTCGTCTGGAGGGCTTGCAGAAATGCATCCAGGGGGCTTGGGCGGGGCCTGAGATTCTGCCCTCCTGACAAGCTCCCAGGCCATGGTGATGCTGCTGGTCCCCAGGCCACACCTCAGGTAGCAAGGGCCTAGAGGATTTCTACAAGCTAATGAGCTAAAAGAGGTCCTATAGGTTCAGAGATGCAAGCCTGACAGTTAAATCTCTCCCGGGAGAAAAGAAGAGCCTTTGGAGCCCTGGGTGGTGCATCCCCACAGGCTCCTCCCCACAGGCTCCTCCCTCGGCTCCTGCTACCCCCACCCCCGCCCAGCACTCAGTACCTTGCTGCACACTGGCCTGCCTCCTTCCTGCTCCGACGCCCCGAGCTCTCGTCCTCCTCAGGGACTTTGCACTTGCTGTTCCCTAACTAGAAATGTCCTTTCCCGGTTCTTGCATGGCTGGTCCTTCTGACAGGTCTCTAACTATCCAAACTGCAGTAGATGCCACCCACCCTCCTCTCCTCTCTCTCTCAGCTCTCCATTGTTTCTTTAGAAGCTTTTAGAAGCAAATCATAAATGTGTCACGAGTGAAGCAAGGCCCAATAGGGCAGACACCATACTGTTCCGTACACTGTCCTGTCTGTCCCCTTGCACCATACAGGGCTCCTGGTAGACTTGAGTATTTGTGCTACATCACCCCCTGTCCAGTGACTCCACGTGTGGTCTGTGGACTGGTGCCACTTCACAAAACCCTTGCTACTGGTCCACCATGAGAGGTACCAAAACTGAGCATAAATGAGGGACATTTTTGTAGCAATTGACATCCAAGCGTGTGATCAGAGACTCTCATCCCCTGTGGTCAGACTCACATGGAAGTGTCACGTGGCAGAGGCTACCTTCTCATCACACGCAGGGAGCCCACGGATCACTCTGTGATGGGGCGGAAACTAACCACACAAACCCGACCTTCTCCATAGGGTTCGAGCGGCACAGTTCTCATCCAGAACGTAAGAGGGGAAATCCCCTCTAGATAAAGCTAACAGAGGCAATGATTTATTTTTCAAAGCTGTCCTGTTTGAAAAGCATATTGTAAAAGAACACTTCAGCATTCATGAGCTCAGCCACCTGGGAGGCAGGAATTATTTGACACGTAAGGAACTTCAGAATGGTCCGTTGCCTTCCCCAGTTCGAGGGGTGAGGCAGGGGCAGATCCTGGGCCGCAGAGGGCGGCACGGAACAGCAGGAGTGCCCGAACATGCCAGCTGGTTCCGAGGACAGGTCTGCCTGCAGGCGCAGGTCTGGGTAAGCCATCAAGTGGGTCTCTGAGATGTCAGCGGAAACCCACGCAAGCAGCTCATAAAAGAGCTGGCTGTGGGCGTCAGGATCTGGCTGGTGAAAACCCCAAATGCTTGGGCCCCAAAATAATCAGAAGACGGCATCGTCAGGCCATGATTAATGCTGGCTCATAAAACCACACGGTACAAAGGCCCCTCTGTCTGCCCTGCATCTGGCCTGCTGAGCCAGTCATACTTTGGAGGTTGAACCACTCTCCCTACTCAATTTCTTGACTTTTTTTTTTTAATTCCAAATAATCGGGACTGAATCTCGCTATCTGTCACCCTTCCCAACCAGAATGAAAGCCAGAGAAAGCCGTAAGCCTTTAAAAACTGGTCACATTAAACCTAACTGCTAATATTTATTGAGTACTTACTATGTGCCAGGCACTATGAGAAGAGCTATCTCTGCACGATCTCACCTAATTTTCCAACATTGTTAGAGATATATATTATCACCCTCATCTACAGAAGGGGAAACTGAGGCTCAGAGAGGTAGCACTGCTAGCCAGATGACCCACAGCTCATGTAAACATCAGAGACAAGCCCTGAAGTCAGGCCTCCCTGACCCCAAAGCTTGAACTGCTCCCTACCAGGTCAGACCAGGTGAGCTGGGCAGGGGGAAGGAGAGGCAGGTATCTCGCATTCGCATTTCTAGGAAAGGCTTTCAAGAACGGGGGGAGGGGTGAATGGGCTTTAAAAGCTAGCCAGGCTTTAAGGGGAGGCAAGATGGAGAAGATGAGGGGAACCAGCGTACTTTGAGCACTTTGCGTGTGATAGCAGCACCTCACCATTCCCTGTGTGCTGGGTCCGTTACTGACCCACCCAGGTAAAAGATTTCTATTCATTTATTTGTTTAAAGGCCAAATGAACAGTATCTCTGAACATATACTATTCAGATGGCTACCATTCTTACCCACGCGGGAATGTGATTGACTTCAGACCTTGTTGATTCTATATTAGAGGGCACATTTGCATATTTTTTAATTAATAAACCATGGAGACGCTTATGTCCATAATGATTTAATTATACTTTTCTAAGAAAAGCAATTTTAAACTAGATTGACTTTTTTTTAATTAGGAGCATCGACATGAAGTAAGTAAAGTAAAAAGATTCCATTTTGAAGGAAACAAAATCCATGCCCCAAAGCCAGTAAATCTAAGATGAACATCTGCTTAAATCACACCCTTCTCATCAAGAAAGTGACCTGCGATTACAACTTGGGGGAGAGTGAAAGCTTATTTAGGCCTCTCTTGGGTGTCACCAAGATTCACAATCCGTCCTTGAGAATCCTTGGGTTCACAAAACCTGAAGAAGCTAGAAATTGTTCACCGATTCTAGATCTCACCCGTTCTCAGGCCTCTGCCTGGGGCAGGAGAGTCACAGTTGTTTCCCTCCTCCTGCCCAGGGCCTGCAGTACATGGAGCTCATCCCGAAGGAGAAGCAGCCAGTGACGGGCACCGAGGGTGCCTACTACCGCCGCCGCCAGCTCATGCACCAGCTCCCCATCTACGACCAGGACCCCTCTCGCTGCCGCGGACTTTTGGAGAACGAGCTGAAACTAATGGAAGAATTTGTCAAGCAATATAAGAGCAAGGCCCTCGGCGTAGGAGAAGTGGCCCTCCCCGGGCAGGGCGGCTTGCCCAAGGAGGAGGGCAAGCAGCAGGAAAAGCCAGAGGGCACAGAGCCCACCGCCCCAACCACCAACGGCAGCATCAGTGACCTGGCCAAAGAATACGTAAGTCCCTCCCAGGCCTGCGGGGCTGCTGCACCCAGGCCAGGCTTCTTCCCCTCAGCCATGCACCCATTCACAGAGCCATGCCTCCGGCAGCTATGTGGTGCTCATTTACTCTGTGCCGGGCACTGTCCTGCGGACAACGATACAAGGTCACTGCCCTCCACCGTCTCCCTGTCCAGTGGCAGTCACAGACAACCAAACTGTCGCAGCTCAGAGAAGGGGCATCTAAGCTTGCTTGGGGTGGAGGTAGGTTTGGCCTAGGAGCTGAGGCCCAGGCTGGTCTCAGACGAGCTAGGGGCCACCCAGGCCTTCGGGCTGACGGGAAGACCTGTGCCGCCCTGAGAAATGATCTGCGCAGCAGAAGCTCAGAGATCACCGTGTGATTAGAGGCAAGGTGAGCTTGGTGGGGTGGGGATGGCATATAAGGCTGGCCAGGTTAGCAGGGACACATTCCTGAAGGATCAAGCCATCCACCCATCCGTCACTAAGTATTATCAGCCTGTACTATCTGCCGAGCCCAGGAAATCAAACGGAGGACTGTGTCCCCACGCTGGAGAGAGCCATGGGCTCTCTGCCTCGCTCTAGGGCCAGGCTCTTCGGGCTAGGTGTTGTGGGGTCTGAGCGTGCTTCTGGAAGTTTCCTCTCGGCGTGTGGGTGACGCGCTGTGGTGGGAGCCACTGGAGGCTGTTTGAGGACACAGAGGAGGAGCCAGGGTCTGGGTGGTGAAAACCTCAGGGACGGGTTTGCCGCCTCTCCCCCGGGAAGTGAAAAGACCAGCTTGTGACTGGTGTCACTGAGGCTGACGTTCGCTAAGTTTTGTGGCTGCCAGCTCCCTTCTGCCTTTTGCACCTGCCCCCCAACTCCCTCATCAGTCAAGGACCTCACGCTTCCATTTGACATGTGGAGATACAAGTATACGGGGTCCTCAAGCACATCGCCTGACTTGCTGGGAGCAGGCGGCAGCTCCCTGTGTGAGCCAGGCGCCCCAGGGGAAGGCCAGCCCGAACAGTGCTCCCGACCAGACGGCCAGCCTCCGCCCCCGCGGCCGCGGCCCGACTCCAGTCTCGCATCACCAACCCCCAGGTTGTTGGGGCGTGCATTCAGGTGGCCATCCAGTGAACTATGTGTATCTGAAAACTAAGTCAGAAAATTGATTTTCTCTACCACAGATTTGGCAATGATGTTGAAAAGACCCATTTCTTGGGAAGAATACCTGTCCCAGGGACTTTAAAATTAGATCCAGTGATCATGATTTATAAACGAATCTGCTCCCCAACTTCGTTTTCTGTCCACCCTCAAAGAGCTATTTGTCCTGAAGGATAAATACTGTGCAATTCCAAGTTAGGAGGTGACGTCTTTAAGTCATTGTGACATTTCCTAGTTGCCGTTCCCAAGAGACAGATGCTGATCTAAGAACGTATTTTATCTTTGACTCAGCCCGGCATTTTGTTCAGTGTGGAAGTGGGGCAAAGGTGGCTTGAGAGCCCAGATCCCTGCCTGCAGTCAACTTTAGGAAACAGTTCTGACACTTAGGAAGCATTCAAACAAGACCAGGCAGTAAATGGCAGATTGCACAGTCAGGAAATAAGGCAGAGACTTCAAAGGAAGTCAATATTGATTGGCCTGGGCTGGCTGGGGAAGACAGCGCTCTCCCTCCGTATCCTACCCCCAATCAAACTCAATAACTAATTATGTGATTAGTGGCTTCAGGCCTGTCACCACTTCTAGAGGCTGAGGTCTTGTCTTGTTCATCTCTGTGTCCACAGCAGGTGCCTTCAACAGAGGTAGTAGGTGCTCAATAAATATTCGATCAGTGAATGAATAAATGAATGTTCCGACTGTATTGAGCCTCGAAAGACGGGGGCCATTTGGATGGCCATTTTGCCTAGGAGAGAGGAGATCTCAAGGTCACATTTATTAAGCACCTGTTCTGTGCAAAATGCAATGCTCAGTCTTTCCGGGTCTTCGTTTAATTCGCAAAGTTGCCTGGTGGAGTGAATTTCACTCACCCCATTTTACAGCTGGGGAATCGGAGATTCAGGGAGGACAGGTAACTTTTCCAAGGTTCCCCCAGTTTCTAAGCAGAAGAACATGGATTCAGCAGTCTTCCTAGAAGTATAAAGCCTGCTTGCTCTCTGTTCCAGGAAGAAAGGAGGCTGGGTCCTCTTATTTATTCCCTCTGTGTCTCCTTGAAGCCAGGGATAAGATCCTATAAAGGTAGCTAGACAGCCCGCCAGGCCTTAGACCGTGTCCCCAGCAATGCCACATGTAGGTGTGGACACGGGCTGCACCCCCTGCCTTACCCTGGGAGGGGCCGCACTAAGTGGACATGGGTGCTGGCCGTCCCGGGTGCTGTGCCCTGTCATTTCTCATAAAAGGGAATGTGGCCCAGTTACCAAAGGCAAGAATCAGGCACAAGGTCTGGTCTTTGCTCCCCTGAGGAGGGCAATGACCTTTACTTGAGGGGGTCAGGGCACTCAACTTATCCTGGGTGTGAGGAGGATATTGTAGGACTCAGTCTGATACCCCAAATCCAGAGTTTTATGGGAAAAGGAGGCCAAAAGAGGGACACATGAAACTGTTACACTAGAACTACACTGGTAGCCGCCGCCGTTTACCATCCTGCAGTGAGCATGCGTGCTGGGGTAGCAGCCACAGTTCAGCGGGCGTGCTGTGAGCCAAGGGTAGTGCTCAGGGTCCGACTGAGAGCTCCCCCACCCAGGGGCGGTGGGGTTCAAACCAACCTCAGACAGACGCCAAGTTCCTCTTCCCTGCTTCCCAAGGAGTATTCCTCTGAAAGTCAATAGATATTGTGCCATGGAAGGGTCATGTGGCCATGTAAGTTTGGGAGACATTACAGCGAACAAAACTAAGAGCCTTTAGACACAGCGGTTCTCAACCTGGGGGTCAAATGACCCTTTCACAGGGATCGCCTAAGACATAACAGTAGCAAAATTACAGTTATGAAGTAGCAACAAAAATACTTTTATGGTTGGGGGTCACCACAACATGAGGAACTGTATTAAAGGGTCACAGCATTAGAAGGTTGAGAACCACTGCTTTAGAGGCTAAAGTAGTGGTTCTCAAACTAAAATCACCTAGAAGGTGGGTTCAGATTCAGAGGGCTGGGTCCCACCCCAGAGTGTCCTCCTTAGTGGGCAAGTAGGGCCTGAGACTCTGCATTTGTAATGAGTCCCCGGGTTGATGCTGATGCCGCTCTGGGGCCCACACTTTGAAAACCACTGCTAAAGAGTGTTAAAAATGACCTTACTGGCATGGCCTGTGTGCTCAGTAGTTAGAGCATCAACCCGCACACTGAAGGGTCTCGGGTTCAATTCTCAATCAAGGGCAAGTACCTGGGGTTGCAGGTTCAACCCCTAGCCCTGGTCAGGGCATGTGTGGAAGGCAACCAATCAATGCGTTTCTCTCACATTGATGTTTCTCTCTCTCTCTGGCCGTACATATCAGGTCAGCAAAAATGATCATCTCACCAGCTGGTCTGCGGTGAGGGTGCAGGAGATGATAACCCAGGCATTTGCTGGATTGATTTGGTCTCCTGGCTCATGGGTCCAACTTGGAGAAAGCTGCTCACTACTCTCACGTTCTTTGAGTTATCTGTGGGGAGTTTTGAAAACACATAGCTTTATACCTGACTGTGACCCCAGGTCCCTTGACCACATGACACTCAGCAATCTGGACCACACGCTCCTACTTTTCTCTGTGCTGTGCTCCATCCGCAAGGAAGCCAGTTCTCCTGTGAGCTCACTTGGCTCCATCCTGCTGCAGCTTAGCCTGTCACAGTCATGACCTTCCTCAGAGACCTTGGGAGGGGCTCAGTTGGCGAGAGCAAGGTCGAGCTACCGAGCCTCCCCCTCAGCCCCCCACCGAAGTGTCCTCAGAGGAAAGGGTTATACCAGACCAGAGGAGCCTCATTGCCAAGGCCTTTCCCAGCTCACCCGTGTGGACTTCCCACCCTCGGACTGAGTTCTGCGTGAAGCCAGATAATGGAGGGCCAGTCAGGTTGTGGGGACAGTGCCACTGGAGCCCGACCCATCCCACCGGCCAGAGCGGGCCAGTTATGTGGATCTGAGCATAGTTCACAGATCTGCACCCCACCCCCAGCTTTCAACCCCCAGGCCTTCAGACGGGGACCCCTGACAGGACAGGCGACCTAAAATTAGCTGTAGCACATCTGAGAATGAACCCAGGGGCTGTTACACGGAGGTTAGGAGGAGTGGGCACCACAGGTATGGCCTTTGAGTAATCCCTCCACAAAGGCAGACATATCCCAGGCACTAACTCACCCCCTGCCCCTCCCAAAGCATGACCTTTAAATCACAGAGGCCAATTAAAAACCCCAAAATATTTCTCCTCCCTCTCTTGCCCTCACTTGCCCCACTGTGTGCGTGGACGGTGGGAACTGTGGACTGCATAGCAGGCCCATTCATCCCTTTGAATCCCCCGAACAACCAGTGAGAGAGGTTGGTGTTGTTATACCCATTTCACGGTTGTGGAGCCTGAGGCACAGAGAGGTTCGAGGACTTGCTGATGGGAGGTGGGGCTAGGATTCCATCCATGCAGCCTGAGAAGTCCCGGGTGGAGCCCAGCACTGTGGGTACAACAGTGCAAGGGGTGTGGATTTAGGTTAGCTGGGGTGAACAGCAGTGTTGAGTAACAGCCCCGCCCAGGGGAGAATCTGGGGGCCTCTTGTCCACGTGCCAAGAACAATGGAAGGACTTGCCTGCCCCACCCTAGTCCCACCCACTGTGGGTCTTGGGGGCTTCACAGGGTTCCGTGGCCGGGGAGTTGCCAACTGGAGCCTTTCCCACCAGAACGGTGAAGCCCAGACTGCCTTTCGAGGCCCTCCCCCCCCACCGCTCCCACCTGGACGGAGCGCGGACAGTGACCTCCTCACTGCTCTGATGGTCGTGAGGTTAACGTCTCCAAACCGGTCCCTGCGTTTAGAGAGCTTCGTGGATATTCTCTCAGAAACGGAAATG